TTATAATTTTTAAACTATTTTAAAAAATTTGCTAAAGTTGATAAGTTATTAATTTCAGTATAATTTATGTAAAAATAATTTTTAATACTATACAGCATATTGGTTAATCAATATTATATTACACTCATAATGGGTATCTTAAGTGTCTAAATTAATATATCAAAAATTAGTTTTTAGTTTGCAGAAAATAATTTAGCTAATCAAGTAAAATTTTTATTATAATGAAAAATAAAAGATCATCATTATTTAATAGATCTAGAATAAAATTTTAACTAGTCAAAATTTGAATAAACTAATCAAATTACTTATTTTGTAATTATATATCTTTTATTTTTTTCAAAATAGATATTTGATTTTTAAGTTGAAACTTCTTATTATTTTTTTCATATTTTTAAATTTAAAAATTATATTTAGTTTTATAAAAATTTTTAATAAACTTTTAATTTATTTGATTTAAATAACTTGAATTTCTATTTAAAAAAATAAATTAATATGATTTGAGTTGCTTCAAAGTTTAACAAATTTTTATAAGTTCAGTCTTTATACTAAATAAATAAAGTAATTATAAAATTAACTTTTTAACAGATTTAAAAATATTTTATTATTTAAAAAGTTTAAAATTCTAATAAAAATTTTGGTCTAAAATGATCATTTTTAAAAAATATTTAACAAATCTAATTAGTATATGTTATTCTAATTTATATTATATAATAAAAAGTTATTTAAAAAAGCATAGTTGAATATAATAAAACATATCTCTAGTTTAATACATACTTATAAAGATATGTACAAAAATTTTCTTATTCTTCCTAACTTAGTTGAAAATTTTAAGATTGCAAATTATTTTTAATTTGACTTTATAGATTAGATAATATTCTTAGTTAATATAAATTATTAATAAATTAATATAGAAAATACCAATAATCTTTATTTATATATTATAAAAATTGTTATAAATCAAAATTAGATACACAATAAGACTTTCCAAAATGTACTTTTTATAAAAAAACAATTTTTTTAAATATATTCTTAAGTCTAGTTTAAACATATATCTAATTTCTGTAAATATATTTTGTTAAAGTTTAGTTTATGAAATATGCATTAAAAAGGTTTTTGTATAACATTTTTTATTTCTATAATAATTTTTTTAGATATTTTATATTAAATTTGGTGAATTTTATTTAAATTTATAATATTAATATTTATAGTATTAAACTTAAAAAACATAATTTATAAGTATAATATTCCAAATTGATAAAACATTTTCTAATTAATTAGTTGCTAATTATAGCAACAATTAATTAATTTTAACTACCATATAACTAAATTTATTGATTGACTAATTAATCTAAAGAAATTAATATAAACTAATCTAAAGAAATTAATATAAACTAATCTAAATAAACAAAATATCTTAGAATTCAATTAGTTAATAATTTAATTAATTAGTTGATTTAAAAATTTTCAAATTAATTAGTTAAAAAATTATTATTTAGTTAGTTTTTTAACTAACAATTAGATTATTACATAAGTAACTGATTTAGTTATATAATTTTTGCTATATAACCAAAATTATATTTCTAGTTATAAAGATGTTCTACTAAAATATAGTAAACTATACTTATAATATTTATAATAATTATGCTTATATTATATATATTAATTATAATAATAAAACAAAGTTAAACTTGCACAAGAAGCATACTAATATAGTAAAGTAGTTATGTTGTTAATCTTCAAGTGGCAGGTTTAGAGTTCAAATTTTAGTGTCAACAAAAATTTAAAATTCTTTCTATATTACAGTTAACTGTTTTTACTATTAGTTGAAATCAGATACTTGTTATTTATATTATATTAGCATGACTAGAAGATTATATAACATTTATGAAATAGTTGTACTTTATATAAAGTAACACAAACTGGTACTGGATAGTGTGAACTTATAATAAGCCTCATGCTTATGTAAATCACAAAAACCAGAAAAATAAAAGCTTATTTAAAAGACTTGAATAAAGAGGTAGCTCAAACTTTAACAATATTACTGTAAAGACTAAACCTATAAAATAAAATTAAAACTTATAAAATTGAATAAAGAAAAATTAGTTTTTGAGAAGAAACTGTTGTAACCAGCCAGGTTGCTAAAATTTATTTTAAAGAAAAAAATTATATATCAGAAGAACATATAAATAAGAGGTATAGTTGTACCTATCTTTATGAACTATCTAAACTAAAAGCTTAATAAAACTTAAATTGAATACCAAAATAATAATAATATATTATAAAGTAAGTATTAAAATTGTGATAAACTTTACAAAAATATAGCAATTTAATAGTATGCTTTGATTACAAGTATTAATTTTAGTCAGTTTTATTAGGTTAGTTATAAAAATAGAATACAGAAAATTCTGGAAGGTTTAGTGTAAGGTCATAGGTTTTTTATATAAGTGAACTACTTTAAAAACTTAATGTCTATAACATATTTTCATTAGTATTAACTAGGGTCATTGATAAGTATAAGTAGATAAGTAAATATAGAAACAAAAGTATTTAAATAAGAAACTTATAAACAGGTTTTAGATATAGCAGCTAGTGTAAAACCTTCAGGTAAACTACATAAATTAGACAATAACTAAAGTTGTATAAGTTCCTAATTGTATATTTTTTTTATAATTGCTTTTTGTAGTTGTAATATAACTATTAGCTTAATATATTATTAATAAAATCTTGGATTACAAATACTTATTTTAATATTTAAAAAAAACTTTGTATAGAAATAATTATATCATTGATGCAAATTTTATCTAAAATAGTAACTAACTTTATTAAATATAAATTTGTATCAGAAAAGTTATTATCTTTATAAAAATTTCACTTTTTTATATAATAATTATAAAAAATTATTTTTTAAAATAAATCTATATATTGCAATTTATATATTACATATTAATTTTAATTAATTTTTTTTTCTCTTAAGCAGTCATGCTAGTGCTTTATTAAGATTTTGAAATTATATTTACAATTACATAAATATTCTTAACAACTAAGCCTAGCATTACTTGGCCACCCTAATGGTACCTAAGTACAACCTGCTACATTACTTTAAGCAGAAGTAAGCTGCTTGTCTAACTACTTAAAGTCCATAATGAAAGAGTCTTTTGTCTTCTATAACAAGCTCTAAAATCATTTTCTGTATTTTTTTTCAATTTGTTTTTCTTTTTCTTTTATTTTCTCTTTTCTTTCTTCTATTACTTACTGATTTAGTTTTCTTTTTTTACTTGATACTTTTTTTTCTTTTCTTTTTCTTCTTTTTATCCTATTTGTTATTTCTTTATTTTTTTTCTATTTATTGATCTTCTCACATCAGATTCTCCATACTTGTTCATAGAATATATTTCAGGCCATTCTTGCTATTATATTCATAAACTGTTGCCTTGATTTTGTACTTAGAAGCTGTCCCAATCTGTTCTGTGTTTCTTTTAAAATAAGACCTTTAATTAGTATCTCTTTTATTTTAATTTCCTCTGCTTCTGTTTTTCTGAAGAGTGCTATATATAATATGTATAAGAAGATCTAAACTTTTTCTTCTTCCTTTAACTCCTTTTAGGCTGTTGCAATAATCACTTTTTGAATTTTTTTCTAAAGATTCTTTTGTTCTTTATATGCTACCAAATGTGCCTGTGTTTTTTTTGTTTTATCTTAATATACTTGACACTCTATTGTTGTATATGTATTGGTCTTCTTTTGTTAAATTCTTCTAGAGTTGAAAGTTTATTTATTATGCACTTATAAATATACTTCTTCTGGCACTACTTCTTCTTATTATGCAGTGTACTTCTTTAGATATCTTCAGTCTATTCCAAAAATATGTTCAATTATAAATCATAACTTCTGTTTTTGGCTCTAATCCTTTGATTGTTTTCATTTCTTTCTATTTTATTTCCAATCTTGTATTCATTATTAATTTGCATAGTAGTCTTGCTAGTATGTCAGTATGTTTGTTTTCCTGCTTTAAGCAGTACTTTATCTTTTTACAACTAACTTTTTCAGTCTGTATTATCTTTTTACTTGTTACACTTTTTTTGCTAAATTATTAGCTTTATTATTCCATCTATCTTTACTGTAACTTTTAACTTTAATAAACTCTATCTGAATATTCTTTGTCATAATAAGCTCTTTAATTTTCATTATCTATATTGCATTTTTCTTTTTAAAAATCTTATTTCTGCATACTTGTTCTAAACTTTTACTAATGTTTCTTATTGCTGCATTACTATTTATATATATTTTTACTTGTTTTTCTCTTGGTATCATTAAAATTACTGCCTATATTGCTACTAACTTAGCTATTGTTAATATTTGCCATCCTTTTAAATCTAATGCTACCTCTTCTTTTGGCCATTTTTGTGTTTTATCTGTTTGTATCCACTCTATGCCTATACTATTTCTGCTTCTTGTGTCTTCTTTAGTCTTCAAGTTTGCTATTCTATTTATATATATTATATATTTGTTCTTGTTTCTTGTTATATTTTTTCTTAAAACTTTTATTATTTCTTGACTAATGTTGTTTTTTAACTTTTGTTATCTGATTATCTCTACTTCTGGCTCTTCTATTATTCTTAGTTCTTCAAGTTTCTGTTCTCTTATTACTGGTTTGTTTGTTTTTATCATTTTTGTTATTTGATCTATTGTTATCTTGATCATATTGCTGTCTTTTTTTATCAATGTATTTGGAATTACATTGATTCTATTATTTACTCTTATTCACTATTGGCAGCTATCTTCTTAGTATTCTTCTTCTCTTATACAACCCTTATATCTGTTAATTTCGATAGCTAATTTACTTTTTTTACTCTATATTTGCCAATGTTCTACTAGTATTTTTTTTTTTCTTAACTATCTTTTCTAACTGTTGATTGTTCTGTGCACTATATGCTACTTATTTTTTTCTTCTTTGTCTTCTGAAATATACTCCCATCTTAGCATATAATAAAGCATTAGAAATGTATAGTATTAAATCTGTTAAACAAGTAATGATAGAAAAAACTAAAAATTAAAAAAACTTACTTTGAAATATAAAAGGAAGTTAGAATGAAATTGAGCAATTGTCTGTTCTTAACAAATTCATTGACAATGTAATAAATATTGATATTGATGACCATGTTATACCAGATCAATGTGAGCAATTATGGGTTTTAAATGACCAAATATATAATGCATTTCAAGATCTAGACCCAAATAGTTATTCTCTTTTTGAATATACAATGCAAAATACTTCAAAAGAATATACTAATATGGAAAATTGTTATTAATGCAGAATAGAATAAATAGAAGATCTATTTGCACAAAAAGTTTATTTGACTAAAAAAAAAAATTCAAAGGAAAAAGCAGTTAAAAACTTAGATAAAGATACTGTAATAGCATTAAAATAATGAAAAAGACAAGAAAAAAAATGAAAAAATAATCAATCTGAAGATAATAAACATATGAGTAAATAACTACTTTACTTACATATATTTGAAATATCTATCTGTTTTTTGTTTTTTTTGTAATAAAAAAAATTTATTAATTATATACTATTGTTAAATATTATTAAAATAATAAAATATGCTTCTTAGTAAAATAATTTAAAATTTTATTTTAAAAAAAATTAAATTATAAATTATATAGTATATGATATACAAAATTAACTAATATGACAAATCATCTAGCTATAAAGATGTTTTCACAAACAAGTATCAAAGTGTAAACCATCTCTCTCTTTGATTAACTAAAATATGAGTGCCATCAAGAAACAATTTGCAAATCTTATCTAATAAGATTTATGGATTTTTCTTAGTATATTTGTAGAAAAACTGATTCTCTATAAAGATTACTTCAACTAATTGTAACAATTCTGATTACTAGCAAGTTATATCTTTGAAAATATTTTAAAAAAGTTTTAGTTTTAGTAAATATTTATAAACTTGAATAGTCAATAACAATTATTTAATAATAATTAAATTACTTATTTTAAATTATCAAGCACCAAGAATATTATTCTAAATCTAAATAAAAAATTCAAACTTATTAAGCAAATATACATAATAAAAATATCAAAACTGCTTTAAAAAAAAATTTGGTTTAAAGTAAAAAACCTGGATTAGTATATAATCTACTTATTATAAAATAGTTTTTCTTAATTTTTTCTATTATATTTATAATGCAACAGCCTTTTGCACATGCATTTTGGTGAAAGATCTTGGTTTGATGTATCAATACAACTACTTTTCACATTGAAAATCTGTAAACTTGAGAAAAATCTTGAAAAATTTTAACAAATAATTGCTTATTTTTAAAAATATAATACTTTATTAAAAGAGATCTATATTTTATATTTTTTATACTGTTAGATTTGTAACAACTCAAATAATAATTTTGGTTTAAGAAAGATTATGTAGTTGAATTTAGATTTTAAGCAATAAATTCAAATATGTAAATTCATCAATTTATGTAATTTATAAAAATCATATAATAAAAATTTTGATATGACAAATTGTGTAACTGATAATATTTTATAATAATTAAAGATATATAACTATTTATTTTATATTTTGTAATAGAATTACTAGAACTATATTCTGAAAGATTTCAAATATTATTATTATCTAAATATTTTGTAGAAATTATATTATTTGTGAAATCTTAAAGATAAGGATGACTTTATAAAATATGTTGTACTAATGTGAATGATTTTAAGAATACTTAATTACAATGCTTATATTGTCAATACATTTTAAAAAATATATATATATATATAAATAGAAAAAATTTAAATAAATTATTAAAAATTAAAAAATAATTAAAAATAAAAAAAGAATAAAGAAAAAGATATAAATATAAAAGATAGAATAGATATATTCATCAAATGTTTAAAGTATATGTATTAACTAAAAAATAGAATCAAATATATGTTAAATGTAAAAAATAGAATAAGATATATGTATTGAATATACCAGTACAATCATATGAAATATGAGAGGGATGGTTCCGTTTAACTTTTTGGTGCACTATATTTTTTCCTATTTTAGAAAGTGTTATAGTTATCATGTTTTGCTTATTAAGGTATTATTATACCAGTACGATCATATGAAATATGAGAGGGATGGTTCTGTTCAACTGTTTGGGTGTGGCCTAGCAAATTTTGAAAAAATCCTATTTTAGAAGGGGTAATGATTTTCATTTATCCATTTTCAGAAAGAGTTAAGATTTTTACATACCATATAACATAATTCTGCATGTAGATCACTCAATTATGATGCAAAGCTGACATCTCAAAATTTATCTCATTATGATGCAACAAATTTTTACGTTATTGACAAAATTTAATTTACCATCGGTTATTTCACAAAGTGATTCCAGTCATTATGGTTCTGCTCATTTCACTGATACTCGTTTTAAACACAACATTTATTAAAAATCAATTCATCAACATGTTCATTTACCTGACACTTACAGCTGTTTTCATAAATTCTGGGACACCTAAAAATTTTCATGTTTTCTGAAACCTTTTCGATCCTGTTCTAAGAATCATCTAACTTTTCAGAAACCACTTCGCTGTCTCTATAGTGAAATCTCAAGGTTAGCGAAGTAGTTTTCGAAAAGTTAAGTGATTCTTAAAACAGGATCAAAAAGGTTTCGGTAAACAAGAAAATTTTTAGGTGTCCCAAAATTTGTGAAAGCAGTCATAATTCACCGACAAGCTCATTCACTGACATTCAATTCACTGACAATCAATTCACTGACAAAGTAATTATACCAGAATTATGATTAAGGTTAGTGAATTTAACTTGTCAATGAATTGAATGTCAGTGAATTAAACTTGTTGGTGAAATGAACATGTCAGTAAATTGATTGTTAGTGGAGTATTGTGTCTACGAAATGAGTATCAGTAAAATGAGGTGGATCTTATAATTGTTAAGGTTAGGTAGAATAAAGGTTAGTGTAAGTTTTAAAAAACTTGTGAAATTTTACCGTTTGTTTCTTTTTTGAGCTTGAGTTTCATTTTTCACCACTTATTATTTTCATTATCTTTATAATTATAGTTACGGAGAATCGGCAATATAGTTATTATCTGATTTAATTTACTTGGTATAAATTATTGAGAAAGTATAGGTTGCGTTGGAGAAGTTATGGAGTCTAATTCTACTAAAACAAAAAAAAAAACTAGAAACTAATAATAGAAGAAAGCAAAAAAAAAAGAGAATAGGTAAATTGATTTCCTTGAGCTTTTCACAACAGCGTACATGATCGTACTGGTCCTGCGCCACGTCACACACTGCGCAGCTACCCTAATAAAACTAAAATATGGATTTTATATGGAAAGAACATCTAAAAATAAAAGAGAAATAATATAAAAAAATGGTATAAGCAAAATATATAGATTAACACTAAATTGTTACTATTGTTTTGAAAGAGCTTATAGAACTATTAACACAATTTAACTCCAATAGTTAATTTATATGTTCTTTGTATTAGAACTATAATAATTAATAACTTGTACAATTGATTATAATAATCACTTGAGCACATGAAATTACATAATTAATTAATGATTGGGACACTTAATTATATTACCAGTAATCACTAAATTAGATCAAATCAGATTACTGACAATTATCTTTATACAGATTAAGGTAAAATATGACATAAGCAATACTTGATAATATCAAAAAGAGTGGAGTAATAATTAAACAATAAAGTAATATCGAAGTATGTATTAAAGTTTAAATGGTAAGAAATAACTATCAATAAAGATAAAATCGTACAACAATTGTGAATCCGATTCTTATTATAATTTCTGTCTATAACTAAGACATCGAGTCTGAAACTTTATTGAAAAAGTGACAAGGAAGCTCTTTTATACTGTTAAAATACACAGGTTCGAAACAATCTTAGTTTCACCTTTACATTAGTCCTATGGGTAGTTCTATCTTGTCTATTATATTTTTAACTAAGCCGAACCATTATATTTTTTTTCCTTTGGGACTCTGTCTAAGCACTTCATCTAGTTCTACCCTTAGGTCTAACCTTAGCTCTACATTATTCATTAGTTCTAAATGTCACTAACAACAAATAAAAGAAATCTAAAATAAATAAAAATGCTGAATAACTAAATATTTATATAGATCTATGTGTTCAGCCAACGACTTAGCCTCGCGATACTCTGGTGGCTTATCATAACATAACCCAGTCAGGGTTTTCCGGAGAGAAAACCAGTGACAATATATATAATTACGTATATATAATAAATAACAGAAATACTTAAAACATGATTGATGATAAAGGTAACCATATAAATGTTACTTCAAATATATTATATCCAATCCTAAATAAATTAATTCTCAACATTTAAATTCCAATTAATCTTAATCACTTTATAATATCGTTAATACTAGCAAATCGCATCATGAATACTACTTCAAGTAATTTATAAATTCTCTACTTAACAATTATATTTTAATATTAATATTCAAAACTTTACACCATACTAGAAGCACGGGTTTTTCGCTAGTAATCATAATAATACAGTGTAAATGCCCCAGTATCGCGGCGCAAACCAATAATAGGTGTAACGTAACACGATCAGGAAAAAAACAATCGTTCGTTTTGTCAAAAATCTCTTGTAACTCAAACCCAATATAAGAAACCACCTTAGTGCCCTAACAAAAAGTTTTCTCGTGCGATTTTACTATATATCTTGCTAATACTTAACCCCAATTCAAACGCTAATCCTAACTAAACGGGCATGAAGATTTTTTGCACGCCGCAAATACGGTACGACAAAAATAAGATGTTACGGCAAGCTATACCTTAGTTACTATACTGCCTATCTCATGAGTCTAGTATTACCACTCTAAAAAATTTCGCACTTCACGTAAACTTATTGCATAACAATGAAAAAAATTTTCGCTAAGAAAACATTTCGCTATTAGATTAGGGTTAGGGTATTGCAAGTAGGTTAGATTTAGATGATAATAATGTCAAATTTTGCAACGAAACTTTTTAATAATGCGCAGAAGGCAATTGCATAGACAAAATTTTGAATTACGGACGATTTTGAGGTCAAATCTTTGTAATATGATTCCAAAAATCATTATTCCCACGCATGTTATATTTATTTCTAAAAGAGTGATTTTATCATAAAGAAAAGGTTTTGCAATTCTAATTAGGAATTAGCTAATCAGAAAGGTTATCAATGTTGAAAACTTTATACTGATCAATATACGTATATGCTAAACACAGGGCTTTTTTTGTTAGTATATTTGGTTTACATAGTACATTGGACACCCCAACCTTCTTGCTCAGTAAATATACCGAATCCGTTCGCGTATTATTAAAAAAATTCTTTGGCATATAAAGTTTTTTTTTACCAAGTATTCAGGTTATGTCAATAAAATTTTTTATTAAAAAAAAAATTTAAAATCCGGGTCATTAAAAGTAAATTAATGATATGAAAACTGATTGTATATGTTTATATGTCCTTATCCCAAAAAGATTTTTCATAAATAATTTTATATTTAAGTTCACTAAATTTATTGAGGACGTTAACAAAAGTACTGTAACAAATTAAAATTTCAAAATTAATTACACACATAATACGCATCATGGTCCAAAATGTGAACCCTAACTCATTTTTAAATGCTTGCTTAATTATACTGAATTTTATAATATATTATGGGTATTTTATAAATTTTCAAAAATTAATTCATTATCAGGTTGCATGAGAAGGCTCCCTGCCAAAACTGGTTTAATAATCTTTTGATCCTTAGTCATAACTTTATACTTTCTTATTATGAAATACATAATAAGTTTGATTTGGTGAATTGCAAAAAATCTTCCGGGACCTAAAGTATCATATGTTAAGTAAGGTTAGACTTGATCTTAATTTGAATTATTGATATGGTTGTTGGTAAAGGAAAATGTACATTATAAAATAGATTATTCTGATTTTCATAATAATCTGTTTTTTTAGAATGTACATTTTCCTTTGTCTACACTCGTAGACGTATAAGTATATACTAACATGCATGTCTTCCTCGACCAAATGGTACGAAGTCATCTCCTAATCTTGTGGCTGGAGAATTTTTTCCAACATATCGAAAACCATTAAATGTACTTCCAATTTGATCAGTTTCGTGAATATTAGAAACGTATAAATAAACATTTCTACCTATATTACATAATGGAAATGTTATATAAAGTTAGAAAAAAATAATAATACGTACTTTACAATATTTTTGAAAGAAGGATACTAAAGCACACCAGTGTGTTTAACCCATATTTATTTTTATTATAAAAAAAGAGTCAAATATAAAGGGCAAAATTTTATTTAACATAAGGTTCTTTGAACATTTTTACTAAATTCATCCAACCTCCGTTCCTTATTCTTTTTTTTTATGATATAATAATAGTGGTGTTGAACATCACTGTGTGTTTTAGTATCTCGATTTGAAATTTACACATTACCTTTAGGAACTTGATACCCATTTGAGAAAGTAAAATAATCACTAATAGTTTTGTGCTGTAATCCAACTATAAATTTAAAAGATATATCTAATAAGTAATTTTTATGAACACAATATTAGATTAACTAAGAAGCCACGTTTAGCAATATTATGATCTTTACCACATGGCATCCAATATCTCAAGGTTTCTTTTATAAAGCTGTCCAATTTAACCATCTTATCAATATCTTTAAGATCAAAATATCCGTCTTTAACAATATTGGATATCATTTCATTTTCTTCAAGCAATTCTTTCCAATATTCAGGATGAGAACCATATTCTTTATTTTTTTTTAAAAAAAAAATTAATATTAGTTAAAATTAGTGAACTGTTATTTTAAAATTGTACTCCAAAATACATACCGTAGAGCGTATATCTTAAAGCATTTGAAGTTGCTTGTACAGAAATAAATATAAATTCAACAATATAGTCAGTTAATTCTTGCAGATCTACAATATCATCTTTGGTTGAAAAGTCAATAAACATTTGTAAAATGTCCGCCTATTATAAACATGAAAAGAATTAATATTAATGATATAATAAAATTTATTTATTATTATTATCTGTACCGAAGTATCACCCAATTCTTTTTTTTCATGTTCCCGTTGCTTAATTATTAGTGAAAGTTTATTAAAGAGTAAGTTTCTATGTTTTGGGTAAACATTGCTAGCGTATTTTAGTCGAAATCTAATAGATAATGAGAGCCAAAATTAATTTGAGAGCATAAAAGTTTAAAATATATTTAAAAAATAATACTAACATTAAAAGGCTTCTATGAAGGGATTTATGAATAAAGTTTAGAATCGGTGGAAAATGGACCAATCCAGTAATTTCAGTTGTTAGATTTGCGAACGTATTGACAATTTCATCATCATATGAAAACTTCTATAATATTTTTAATTATTTTAGTATTTATACATAAATTCATTTAACAAATAATTTATTTAATATTTACCTCTCCAAGAACAATGCTAACGATATTTCTTGCCACTAATTGTGAAGCTACGTTATCAAGAGACTTTATGTATTTTTGACCTAAATAGAGAAGATTATAATTAAGTAAATGAATTTACTTTTATTCATGTGATTCAAAATTTTATTACCGATACATTCACCGATATACTTATCGATAGATATTTTTAATGCATCTTGAATTTTATTCATATATGTTATATATCGCCCGGTACTAGAAAATCTGTCATTAACAAGTTTAATAAGATTTATATTGAAAGTTATTGGACGTCTTAACAACGAATCAGTCGGTAATGTCTGAAAGGTAATATAAGATTGATTAAATTATAGGAAAAGGACAAATAATAAATATAGGCAATTATTAATATAGAATATTATTTCTTATATTGTAAATGAATAATATTAATGATCATTATAAAGCATATGATAATATTTACTTCTCTGAAGGCTTCAAAAAAATTAAAGTCATTATGATTCTTGGTAATTTCAAAGCTATGTTCTTTGCCAATTATGGTTATTATTTCACCGAAAACATAAAGTGAGAAAATTTCACCGTACTGAATGATATTTATGCAACATACAGTATATCAATATGAAGTTAAGTAACAGCAAAATGCTGGTTAAAGAGGCTTTACCTGTTTGCGACATGTAGTGAGAAAGCTTTCAGTATTTGTAAAATATTCTTTAGTATGACCAATTATTGGAAAAGAATATGGTACGAGTGGTGGTTCATTCTGAAAAATAGAAACGTATGAGTAAGTTAATAATCATTATTTAATAAAATGGAGATAGTCATTACCAAATTTCGTCGAGGCTTTCTTAAAACATATATGCACGAAAACAAGAGTAGACTCAGAAAAGTTAAAAGAACAAAAACCATTTTCGATCAACAACACCTATTATTTTTATTATTTATAAGGGTTTAATTGTCAGTATTTGTAGGTTTTAAAAAAGCATAATTTGATTTCCTCAATACATCTGTTTAAATAGTTATAGCAGAAAAATGATGTTGTTACGATATTTGTTATATTCCATGTCAATTTTTCTTATTTAAATCTTGGTTTTTTTTTGATCTTATTTTTATTTGTTTCTTTTACGATCTGTTTGTTTTTCCTTTAACAGAATAATCGCATTGTAACGAATTAAAATTTTGGTCTAATTAGTCTTTTTAATTGTGTATTTTTCCTGTCAATTGTTTCATTTTATTCTATTTTATTTTGTTAAATATTATGAACTTTCCTTTTTTATATGTTCCGAATTTAATTCAAACTTAAAAATCGCATCTCCATACGTATTTACACATGTATATTGTATATGAATGCTGAACAGTTCATGTTTAAATTCCAATTAATTATTTAGTAGTTCATATCATTGAGTCCTACCTAAAGAAGTATAGTCGGAAGTACCAAAGAAGTTGCATGACAAGTTTTTATTATCATACTCATGTATGATAGCTATAGATAATCGAATGAATATCTATTAATATGCATTTTAAATTAAGCACTTCGGCATAACAAATCTACCGATGTAATAATAAATAATTTAAAAATTTAAATTCAAAAATATACACCCAAAAATGGATCGTTGATTTCAAATTATCAATGGTATAGAAACTTTGTACAAGGAAAAGTTGAAACTGTTTAATGTAAGAAATATGAAACCGACATTTAATTAATTATATATAATTCTGTTGAACTGGAACTTAAATATTATTTAAATACTATTTAAATACTATTTATTGCTATAGGATTTCACTTTATAAAATGAAGTTCATATTGAAATAACTCAGTAACAACATATGATACAAATGATAAAATTCAGCCATTGTCAGTGTTTGAAAATGTAAGTAATGTAATTTAATTTAAATCATTTTAAAATACTGTAGATTTTAAATATAACTAATAGAAAAGTTGGAGTATGAAGAATAACTATTACAACTCGAAGAAAGGAAAAATTAAGAGAATTATGCATTTCTAATTTAGTTAAAGAATGTGAGCGTGGTTTAGAACGTTAATATGATTTTTTGCTTTGCTAGTTTATTTGAAAAAAAATTAATTTCTTACATAATTGCTTTAATATTTGCTTTGCTAAACTATTTTACTCATTGTAATTGCTTTAATATCTAATAACTAATTATTGAAATGTTTATTATCATACGTATTATGTATATCATTATTTTCGATATCCTACTTTTATTTTTCCGACTACGTATACATTTTAAGTAATACCGCATATCATTTGGATTAGCATATACGTCGTCATTGTTGTTAGTAAAATTTTCTATATACGTATTATGTAATTTTATTTTTGTAATCTAAATAATAACAGACCAGTTACGAACTACTAGTGCTCATCATGCGAAGTTAAAGTTACTTTTTTTGATGTAGTGTAGATACGTATCAAGAATAGAATTTATGCAGTATGTGGATCATTATATGAATATACCTGGCTTTAATCCAAATCGGTTAATTTTTTAAATTTGGTAATAACGTTAATGTATATTAGTTTATATTTAGAATAAAATTATTGTAATGCTAGGAGCAATAGCATCTGTGTTAATAAAATTATAGCAAATCAGAACTTATTAAGGATCTAATCTTCTATACAGATAGATTACTAAGAAGAGTATCAAAAAACGAAAAGACAAGCAATCGATATTGTACAGATCATGTGATTGGACGGACAGTGTTACAAAAAAGGTCGTAATAAATTAAACTATATGAAATTATGTAATGTGAGCGGTAGAATGGTAATGCCGGAAGCTCGTTTAAGCAGGTGATCGGTGTGGCGCAGTAATGGACTAACGGCTATGTCGATCACCTACCTTAAATGGGTTTACCGGCAGTATACGCTGTATTTGCTGTATACTACAGTACTATGTATCTGTCGCATCTGAAGTAGCGATTTATTTGAAGCAGCGCCTGGCTAAAATTAAGCCCCTGAAATTAGATCTTCATGCATGCATTAGATTTAATTTTAGCCAGGGCGCTACTTTAGATATATAAAGTGGCTATTTTAGATAAATCGCTACTTCAGATGCGACATATCCTATGCATCGGGTGAATAATGGATATCAGTGGGATCAAGGGCATAATTAAAATAATCAGTATAAACATTATCATCAGTATAATTAGTATAAACGTTATAAGTAGTATAAGCGATATATCACGAATAAAGTGTATAACGTGTCCTATGTAAATGAAAGTAAACAGATGAATTTAGTCATGTAAACTTGATGATTACTTGTCATACGTTAAAAAGAGCGTTATCCGCGGACAACAATATATATTAATATTCTTGCATATCTTATTGCTTTATTAGAAGATGAATGGCTATATGTCTTTAGCAATGATTAGTGTATGTGTTCAGAATAAATATAATAATTCGTGAAATGCTATGCAAATATTCGATGTATTCTATTCTACATATCCAAAATTCATTTACGTAAATGTTAGTCTATGCTAACGGATAAAACAAGTAATCTATTTCAGGCACAAAATACTAATAATATATGGGATAGCGATGAGTTATTTAAATAAAAATAAAATATAGGGCGAAAAAAGATGGTATCTCATGCTATCCTTGCAGAACCAATAAACGAATTCATGAAAAATATTTGACCAAATAAAGCAATTAATATCTAAGTGCGATAAGAAAATTCAACTTAATGATAATAATAATTTAATTTATAGAAATAAAAATAGTGTGAATTGAAAGAAAAGTTGAAGAACTTGTTTCTTATACGTGATATTCGTGAAATTAAGGATGGAGTAGATATCTAGTAAACGCAGTCGCGTTTGAATCAAATCTTCCCATATTACCCAAACCCCAATTTGCTTCAATAGTTGCCGGGATTGAATAATGATTATAAGCAGTATTATCTGAATGACCGGATGGAGGATTGACGGGAGTACCTACAATACTAGCATAAACTTGATTGGATGAACCACCTCCAGATTCATCAAAAACAATGAAAAATAATGTATTGGTGTTAAAGTTTGGATTTGTACGTCTAGCTTCAAAGAAAGGTTGGAACCAGCTCATTGCGAAGTCTACACTTGTATCATGGGCGTCATTTTGTTGGTTTGGCACATAATAAACGAATTGCGGTACTGAATTACTAGCTATATCAGCATCAAGGTTATCAGCATTCACTATCTTAGCACAACGTGTTGGGTTTGTGTTTATATCCTCCATGGATATGAAAGGATTATGCTTTCTTGCGTAAAGATCAGTGCCAGCAGGGCAATTGTCACCCGTGTAACAGGTACCGCAAGCTATTAAAATAATATAAATGTGGATGTTATAATAATTTAAATGTGAATATGAATTACAAAACAAGTAATTAATGATAATATTAATACACTTACTATAGTTCTGCATGTAAGCTTTCCAAGTGATGCCTTTGCTCTCAAGAAGGTCAACTAAGTTTGTTCCAGTGATATTATAATCACCGTCATCTGTAATATTAAAAGTTGAACCAAAAATTTGGGCAACATAATTGGGCTAATGGGAAAACAAAACAAGTTATTTTAGATTTATGAAAATTATATGGAATTAAAGTAAAGGAGACATACCTCAGATGGGTGGGAAACTGCAAAATAATTAGTAAATAAAACGCCTTGATTGCCCAAAGTTTTTAAGTAAGAATTCTTTATTGCCTTAGCATAGTTGGTGTTTTCGAAAATGAATAAAACGAATCGGTCAAAATAAGTTCCCGTAACGGTACTGCCGACTAACCCTCCAGAAAGGACGGTTAAAAGAGTGACAAATATAAGAAACCTCATTTTTTTCGCTTATAAAATGTATAGGTGATGGTGTGAATTACTTTTAAACGAGTGGAATTCATTACGCTTTTATATATCTGAGGCAAATTAGGCAAATAGTTCTTTAAGAAGCATCATTTTTAGATGATACATGGAAAAACTTTTTATTTTTGTTTACGAATTCATATGACACTTTTCTTTGTCTAGCAGATTTAAAATGTTTCGATTAATTTTAATTTTATAATTTCCAATTTTTAAATTGTTTATTTTCTTGTACCAAATTTAACGTTTAGATAATCAAATATGTGTTAAATTGATATTTCTACACCTTTAGGTCGAATTCCTAATTAAAAATACCAACATAAAATTTACACTAAAATTTGTGTTGCGTTAAATTCTTATTTTGTATCTGTGCATATGTGTCTAAATTATTATTATTTTTCTTTGCATAAACTTAAAAATAAACGGAATTATGGATTTGACACTCTGAATCTAGTTTGCGAGTGTTGGAAAGAAAACCTAATTTTTTTAATTACCATATCATTGAATTCATCTTTGACGAATGTAATATCTTATATAATAATATCAATGCCTAATAATTTCGAACACATAGCATTCTAAAGTAGCTTGCTAAAAAAAGTTTAAATTTTGCCAAGAAATCTGACGTAAATCATCTATAACTTTGCTGTTTATAATCTATAATCATGAATCAAACAAATCTTAATAACTATTCATGTCAAATCTGTTCTCTATATTTATTATTAATTTCAAAGTTAATATTAAAAACGTTAATCAATTATGCATTATGCAATTATTAATTGCAATTTTAAATAATTTTAATTGTCGGACATCAATGTTATAGGTTAGCAAAATTTCAAATTATCAATTATGGAAATTAAGTTCAAATTATCGATTATTGCGATTTTTAATTACTGGATTATTGTTTTACTAAATATAGTAAAACCTCCATAAGTGCATGCTCTTGGTAACGACGTGCACTTAGAGAACAATAAGAAAAGGTGCATTTATGGAGGTCATGTATATATTTGGGACTAATTTAAGCGTGCATTTAGAGTCATAGGAAAACTTTCAGATGATTGGCTGTTTAAATCAATTTAATTTTACATTATTTATGCAATTTAAAGTATTTTTAAAAAAAAATAAAACCACGAAGAATAAACAAAAAAGAAGTATATAGAAGGTTTTATTAGGGTTGTAGGACTCCATTATTTAAAATAATCAAAATCCCTTTTTTATTTTAGAGAAGTTAGCATAATAGCGACTTCTTAAAGATTGGTAGAATTGGATTATTACCATCCTAACTTCTCAAAAACCAGAAATAATAATTTTGATTATTTTTATTAGTGAAGTCCTACAACCCTAATAAACTTTCTACATCCGTCTTTTTGTTTATTCTTTGTGGTTTTATTTTTTTTTAAAAGTACTTTAACTGCATAAATAATGTAAAATTAAATTGATTTAAACAGCCAATCATACGAAAGTCTTCCTATGACATTTAGAGAGTGTGTGCACTTAAGAGGATACACCTATAGTTTCACTGTAATACGTAATAAGAACGCTATTAATCTGGATAATCTTGGATAATCTATAATGTGCAGTCACATGATTTCCGACCTTCTGATTCTCCGGAAAATTGGGTTCAAAATTTTTTGAAATAACTATCGGGTTGTTATTTCGAGACAATTTCCAGAGCTAAGAATTAATTTTACCAATTTTTTTAAAAAAATTTATCGTTTGTATTTGTCAAAATTAATTATTAGTTCTCTGGGAATTGTGTACTTCAAAATAACGCTCAGGTGCGTAATTTCATATCAATATAGTAAAAGAAGGCTTTCATAGTTGTTATTTAAGAGACAACCCCGATTTTAAACATGGACTTAGTTAATGAATAATAATCGCGAACAGATTTAAAATGAATTGTTAAATTTAAATTATGGTGTACAAATAACATTGAATTATCGAATATACAAAATTCACACTTTTCGAATTCAACCAATATAAATTAAAATTTCACGTTTGTTATATTTATAAAAAAGTTAATTATAGTAAGCTTTGGCTTATTAACGAATCTGCAAGATTGTAGAGTTCTAAATCAAAATCAACTAATACAAAATTTCACACCCGTCATGTTATAAAGTAGTAAGTTTGGATTATAGTTGAATTTATAGACAAATATGCATTTATGTACTGTAGAGTTTTACGATTTAAATAACGAAAAGAACAAGTTTTTCAAAATACAGCCAACTTTTGTTGAGTGAGCTCTCGATGTTTATAAAGTATATTTAGTATTCTCTCAATATAAGTTACAAAGAGGTTTTTTTCAAGCATGAGGACTTCACTATAACGTTAGTTGTTTACCATGTTTTCTTGTGTTTCTACATATGAGACCACTTTTATTTTTGCGACGAAATATGAGTTAACAATGAATAGAAAAAAAAAAAGGATACAGTTTTCTAAATGAACTGTTCGTTCTTATAGTAAAGTTATTTATAAAAATATTTATCATGTTTCTATATCAACTCTATAAATTTGTCATCATGTGACTGCGCCCTTACCATCGATTTTAATGCCAGCATGATTTTCCGACGTTCACCAGCCAATTAAAAATCAGGATCAGGTGTAACATCAACAAACTTTAACCCCATATATCGGAGTTATTAAACATTATTTATTTCCGAATACTGTGAAAGTAAATTCCCTATCAAAATCTGTACTAATTGTCATGAAAAATGATGTTAGGAAAGGAGGGGCCCGGCTTATGATAAAAGTAATAACGGCCTGAAATTTATTAAATAAACTTGAGTCGCGGAATTGCATGAAAAAATGATACAAATTTTTTTTAATAAATATTAATAAATTATATGAACAATTAACAAAAAAAGTTACAATATAAATATATGTATATTCTGTGCCATTTTCGCGTATGGCACGTATCTCGTACAGTACGTATAGTCTGGAGCACAACCTTCTTTGATCACAAATTAAAAAAAAGCAACATTGAAAATTTCATGAATTTCACAAAGTAATTTTTATTCTTACAACTTGTTAGCTTACCTAACAATATCAATAGTACTACAAATTGAATTATTTTAAAGATAAAACTTATAATTATAAATAATTAAAAAGTCCGTAAGCAAATCTGCATCGTTCTCCGTAATACGAGTATATGTATCTTTGTAGTATTCACAAATCCAGCATATGCATTAATTACTTTTATTATACATTTGCTATTACTAAGTACTCTCCTCATACTTCTAATAGTGCTGATGGTACCAGATGTGTTTGTAAACATTGTAAACAAATTCCTGGTGCAAATTATATTAATACGGTGTAACATAAATAGGTACACGTGTTTTTACGAATTGGTGACTACGTACTGCATTTTGTTCCGATAATTTGTCTATGCCAAATGGTACTCATTACGGTGTATATGTGTCTAAATTAACTTTTGGTTTGTTCCCATAAACTAACCCTAAAAGAAATTATGTCTTTAATGCTCTGAATTTGGCTTGGAAGTGTTGCAAAAAAACAACGTATAAATATTCTTTTTTTTTTTTACCATCTTATTGAATTCATTTTTGATGAATCTAATGTACTATATAATAATATCGATGGCTAATAATTTGACACAAAACATTCTAAAGTATCATGTTAGAAATTTGTCATAAAAGGTCTGGGACAAAATCCCGAAATTCTCATAATTACATATCTGCCCTCTGAATTGTTAAAATGCTAACCAATTATAGTAAATTTTAATTTCAAATTTTAATAGTTTTAATTGTCAAAAGATTAAATGACAATGTTAATAAACTGGTAAACCTTTAAAATTATTAATTATGGAAATTAATTTCAAATTATCGATTATTGCAATTTTTAATTGCAAAATTTTACCCTTAAATTATTTTGTTTATATAACAATAATTACAACCACCAATTATGGTATGTTGATATGTAACGATCAGTAGAAATATAAGGATCTAAGGAAATGAATATCGGGAACAATAGTGGAAATAATGCAAATAATGCAACGGTAGATAATTGTAATACATTAATTATCATAATTTCTTATATTATGTACGTACATCAATGAGTTCTTGTAATACTATATGACTAATTTAAGACACGAATCTAAACCTAACTTGGGTACTAGTAAAAAAAATGGCGAGAGAGCAATTTTACCATAATAATGGTCCTAGTTTCAAATTAGTTCTAAACCTAATTTAATTGCTTCACTTTTAACGTTAAATGAAATTTTCAAATAAAGAAGACAGGTACTGACTAGTGCTCCGATCGGGTTGACCCGAATGACCCGAAACCAACCCGATTATAATGAATTTACTATATGGGTCATGACCCATCTAATAAATTTATTATAACCGGGTTGGTTTCGGGTCATTCAAGTCAACTCGATCGGAGCACTAGTATTTTTAATTACTTATTCGAGTTAATTCGTGTAACCAAATGGATACATGGCTTTAGACGACCTCAATTACTGTAAGGACATTTGAAAATATGTTGGTAAAATTGGTCACCCTAAATTGATTGTCAACTATCGTGCCTGAAATTGGTCCCTAAAATTAGATTATTTTGCACGCATCAGTCGGCAATTTTTTAGGCATGTATATCTTCAGGTGCCTCTGAAGTTGCAACTTTAGTAGGTGCTAATTCAGAAACGATTAGTCTAAATAATAAACTTGATTGTATTAAAAAAAAACTTTGTATATATTTTGCAAAAGTGTTCAAATCTATTATCGGTTACCACTAGTAGAAGGGGATTTTTTTTGTCATTTCATATAACTATTATTCTATTTCTTTGATTACGAGAGTTCGAGCTTAGATTTCTATACGGTAAGCTATAGCAAGAAAAGGTGAGGTTAGATATAGGGATTTAATTACGTTTAGTACTTGTTACAATTGCGCTTAGTACTTGTTACAATTCCGCTTAGTACTTGTTACAATTGCGCTTAGTACTTGTTACAATATTTCGTTTCTTTATTTCCTTCTAGCCCATTCTATCAAAATATCAAGAACTCTATATTTAAATTAACATTGTTCATATAAATGTTAAAATAACCAATTTTTTTCTTTAAAAAGAAGGAAAAATGACGGATCGCAAAAAATACCATCAAACAAAATCTCATAAGCATTAATCCTAACTTAATTGTATTAAGAATTGACTAAATTTTTAAGCATTAATGCTGTTGTGCTTGAAGTTATCAATTTAGGCACGCTGAAATTAACCCTGAGATTGCCCGTATTAGTTAGTAACTTTGGGCAGTTTCAGCTTCAGGCGCTTGAAGTTACAACTTCAAGCAGATGCTAACTTCAAGCACGACAATAATACACGGTTAACGATAAAGAATAGTTTTAATTTCTATAGATCAGTTATATAATTATTCGCTGACTTTATATAATCTGCACACTAATATCTTTATAAACTTATTCTCAATACAATATATATATATATATATATCACTCTCTAAATTAAATTTATAAATTTTATTCTTAATATTTTTGGCACTGAAGGCAATTATTAATGCCATTTCTAAAAATGATGGCCAAAGTTAGTCAGCATTAATATCACTTTTATTTTCATCAAGCCATGTAACTAACTGCGAACATTTAAAGACTTTATCAGCCGCTTCTAATACTTGCTATAGAAATATATATTATTAGCATCATAATTGATATCATGTATTTACTATGTAATTGTTGTTTACCTTAAAAACTTGATAACTTCCAAATAATTCTTTAACATCAATAACTTCAAATAAAATTTTCCAATCTTGAGAGATATTACAAAGGCCATTTGTAATATAACATGATGCAAGAGAACTATTTGCTTTACTCATTATGTCTAAACATGTAGATGTGTCATTTTTATAAATTGGGACTAGTTCATCTTGAATGCAATACGTTATGTAGCCAATCCTAATTATACAAAAAATATATATTAATATCTAAAAAAAGAAAATTGAACTGTAATAATGGACTATGAATTCTCTTATTAGGGTTCTGTCATTATTAATGAATTATCAGGATAATAATTTGAATGCTATAACAAGTTCATTAATTTTAAGCACTGTTATTCCGGAATTCGGCGATTCGGTTGCTACTCTAATCCAACTCTCGCGTAACCTACGGCGGCTAAGTCGAAATAGGCGTGTTAGAT